TACTCGAGTCAATAACTTTTCCAGTTTTTTGTGGTAAAATTAGGTGCCTCGGCTTATATTCGGGTCGGCCTATACTCGAGTATATACGGTATGCCCTTTCCTTCAGTGCTATTGTAACTTCAAACGGTCATTGAAAGAAAGGTTGTAACTTGTGAACTACCTGTATTATAAAAACAAGGACAATGACGACATTTATATCATTTCAACAAATTACCATTGGCAGTTTCAATTTTCATCTTCATAAGAATACTTTGGGAGACTTTCATATATATTTTAGTACATGTAACAATCTAAAGGCCAATTTAAATGTCCTTGTAATGGGTAATGGGTTCGTGTGTTGTTACCCAAAGAAAAATCAGCTTTACCCAGTTTGGGATAACATACGCAAGTTTCAGAAGCATTTTATTTGAATCAGAATTTGAAATAGATTGTTTTGCTTACATTTATGGAACATGTGCTTATTTATCCAATAACAGAAGAATTTAGAAAAGCATGGAAGAACTGTAAAAAAATGTACTTTGGGGGAAATCCTTAAATCTGACTAAACAGAACTTGTAGACTGCCCCAAATAAATTGATATTCTTGGCTGTGAAATACATACACAGCATGCACACACACGCAGCCCAAATGTACCCTTTGCTCCTTTGATATGTGAAACTGAATCAGCAATTTTAATGACAATGATTCTTCAGCAAGACAATGAACTCAGGTTTAGGTGTACAGTTCAATTTATGATTCTTCAGAGAGAATGCTTCTTCTAGTTTGAGAATATAATATGCCCTATCCAATGATATTTGTTTAAAACAGATCACTTAATAACATTTCCCAAATTATAAGATATAAAATATCTGGCACCAAGAAGAAAACCAATACATCAAAATAATCACAAACCCCATTTATTTAAGTTTTGCAATATTTGTTTGTAAAATATTGAATAAATAAATACTCAAATACCTTTAGAATTAAGAGTACCTTAAAGTATGAAATGGACTAACTATCCCTATTTTCTGTAGCTATCTGTGATTCAATTTTTGAAACTAATCATGAGACCACATAACCTCATTTATAATGCCCATTATAGTTATTTCCTTCAAAATTACAGGGAAATGGGAAGATGTTCTTCTTACCATCCAATAATATGCAGGGGTGCTAAAAGTATTACTTTTCTGGCCTACCTACATTCCTTTAGAAGTGCTCATTGTTCAGCTAAAATTTTGCATTTTAGAAGAGTTTTAGGGGCATATGGATACCTTGTATTTCAGAAACTGTCTTTTAAAACTCTTCTGCAGAAACAAAGCCCACTTTAGACATAGCTCTGATTACTTTTAGAGGGTGGGTGAGCCAACATGGTATGTGTATAATGAAACAAAGTGCTAAATTTCTTCTAAAATGAAAATGAAAGCATAATGAAAAGTTTTTGTAGGATCTACTGAGTACATTAACAGACAGTAATTATACTTAATGCAAATAAGATTTTAAGCACAAAATAGCTGTGAAACTATATATTTTACAGAAAGTATATATTTAAAAATTGATAAATGTTGCATATCCAAGTTTTGCTTCAATTTGTGAAATGGTTCAAAACAGCCAATGTTTTGGGAAACAGTACTGACTGGGGATGGTAAAACCTTTGGTTGAACATATCTAAAGGGCACCAAGTTGGAAAAGGCAAAGATGAGGTATTTCAATGTATCAGCCCAAGTATAGAATGCCACTTGTAATAACTTCTCTCCATTGTGAGTGCAATAGAACCAATAAAACCAAGCTACACATCTATACTAGGGATTATCCATTTTGAAGTGCATTAAAGGTCAACATAAAAGATAAAACTTGCAAGTTTTTCCTTGGGACAAAAAATTACAAAAACATTTCCAGCATACTAGTTACTGTTTAGCTGCCAACAAAAAGCAGCACATTACAGAAAAATGCAAGGTAAGAACCAAAACCCATCAAATTAAAATTTACTTTGGGCTACAAACCATCCTTACCTTGCAAAGATGGCTCATGTCTTAGCTATCAAAAACAATGTACAGGCTGAATAGGAAACTTCTTTTAATAGGTTACCTTGGTAACAAGGAAACCTAAAATCAAAGTCTGCAGCATAGTAGTGTCATATCTAGTCATTATTTATTTGCAGGGAATTTGCTTTCCGAAAAGAGACGTCAGTAGTACAAGCTCCTCCACCAATAGTTGATTAAAAGAGATGATAGCAGGAAATTCTTTAATTGAAGAACCTTTGGTACATATAGTTTTCTTCAGATACGGAGTATCCAAACTTTGTATAAAAAGCTACATTTTTCGGCAGACACTCAAGAGTAATTTTGTAGCAATTTAGTCTCTTGCTTAGCAATGTAAGAGTTGACATCAATCTTTAAAAGAGACAATAAAAAGAAATAAGGTTAATTTTGCAGGATGTGAGGACAACTATTTGAGACTGCATCTAGTAAGGGGGCATGTCTATTTACACCCACTACTATTACTATCAAACAATAGCTACAATGACATTGCTGGACAAACTTTAGATGATTGGACACTTGCTTCCCCAAAGGGACGCAGCTGACTAGAATGAAACTAGTTTTGAATTACCTGCAAAATGCTACCTATATGCCAGGTGAATACCAGAAGTTTGGCATGTAGAATGTGTTTGCTCACAGAATTTTGTTCCATTTAACAGGCATCTAGACATCCTTTATAAGTTCCTAATTATAAGTGATCACAATTATGAATTACTTACAGTTTCCCAAGCTGTTTTCCTCTGCAATCTCCACTTACAACAACATCTTCTATTCTGCCCCTCTGAAAATAAGTTAATACCATTTTAAAAGGTCAAGTTCCAGAATGTATCCAGAATGCATACTTTTTCTTCAGTGTACATACCTTTGCGCATGAGTGAGTGAACTTATGTTCTATGACTAAGGTTGCAGTAGCTACAATCGCTCCTAGATTAGTATCTTCCACAACTGTAACATAGTAGTCCCCAGAACTCCGCATATGTTCGAAATTTTCTGTGGAAATGTAGGCAGGAATACGAATACTATTGGTAATGGATTCAACAGTTCCTCAGTATCAGGCTTTCTTGCAGCTCTGTCATGTTTGCTAGCTCAGGATGCACTGCACCTGAACTGGGACAAGCAGATGAATAGGATTGTGAGAGGATTCTATGGGAAAGGCAAGCATGTGCATTGACAGCATGGTCAAACTGGCAAACTGCCCACAAACTAATTACTTCAGTTGCTATCTAAGCCAGAGCTATGGAGTCTAGAGCCAATTGATCCCTCACTCCCACAATCCGCCTGCAACAGAGAGAATAAAAAATGGCCATATTTTTAGGAGAGGGTTCTGGGCAAAATAGGTGTTTGATCCTCTTCCAAATCACAATCAAAATACAGGAAGCTTTAAGTGATAAACTATTTTCCCAAACTTTTAAAAGGGATGTCTTAAGGAGTTAATCACTACAATATTTCTGTCACTGAATCTGACTTTCCTTTTCCATTTTTCAAATAGCAAAAAAACAAAGAGATACTCACCAAGGAATTGCTGGGGGTTAACAATTCCAGTTTCAGTCAGTTGACCTAGAACTTTTAAAAAGCCTAAAAAAATGTTTTTATATTTTAGGATCTCCTTAGACTGAAAATAAAACTCAACAAATAATATAATAGAACCAACGCCATTCCACATAACAGCAATAAACAATAAACTTCCCCCAAAATATTTAAAATGCAGAGAATACACCTAAATGCTTCATTCCAAAATCTTCCAAACAGCAAGTAATCTTCAAATGCATTGAAGTTCTGCAGCAGCAGTGTCTGTACCCACTACGCTTCATGCTCAATTGTTTTAAGAATCAGGTCAACATATTGTAGAAGGAATTACAAATGTATTTGTAAGAAAATCAAAATATTCAGCTCTGTTTATATCTTTTAATAGGGACCAGAGGGTCATAGAAAGTTTTTTTTAATGCTGCATATTCTCAGCTGCAAAAGGTTACTGTTCTCCACTGGAAAGTCATTATCATCTGAATTGTTTCTGAATTTTCTCTAGATTAAGAGAATAAGTGCTTTGAACCTTATTCCCTTTACTTTGCTCATAGAATCTAGCAATTCTAAGGTTTATATCAATAAACTTGTAATTTCACACAATCGTTCCTATGTAATTCTTCAACCATAAAATAAAGTAAGTAAATACCTCTGTTGATGTCAGCACTGCAAAGAGGTCTTAGAACTAAACCCTCTCCTGGATCCTCAGGAGAAATATCAGGAGAAAATTTCACAGTATTTTGGGTCCAATCAAGTTCTTTAAGAAGGTGAGGATCATACATTGGTGTGCTCTCGAGTTTTTTTATTGCAGCAGGCATCATGGCAACTGAAATTGAAGCAAGAACCATAGAAATGAATTACACCTTAATTCACACATTTGCCAATATTGTAAAATTCCCATCATAGGGATTCCTATAATATAATTCATTTTTAACACATTGCAATTGACAATAATTCACAAATATTTTTTGATTCATCTTCAGTATATCTCCACTGATCACTTTACCTTGTGCAAAATCTTTTCAAATTAGCATCCAGTTTCTGGCTAAGCAACATGATATATGTACTAGAATACATAAAGGATCATTTGAACTAGTGTCTGTGCAGAGAGAAAAAATATAGACTTAGGACTTCCCTTAGACTAGCTACATCATTTTGCCTTTAGTTCAAATTAAAATATTAAACTGATGCATTCCACCCAATTGGACAAGAATGGCTATGATGCAACAGACAGTAAATATTAATGCAATATTTACTTGTCATTAGATATATTTGTTGAACTAAAATATAATAGGATCTCAGATTTAAACATTCCAAGCATTGCATATATACACATATACATATACCTATGTACACATATACATACACACACACATACCCATGTGTGTATTTTTCCTTCTGAAGCAAAATTTATATTTTATAACAAAGATACATTGTGTGTGTGTGTGTGTGTGTGTGTGTGTACAACAAAGACTTTGCTACAATTTATATTTAATATCTATCTAGTCAGATCCATTTATTTTCAGAAAAAAAGAATAAAAGAGGTATGGTAATATTAAACAGAGTCATTTTGATGTAGCAATTTAAGGTACTAGGCTAGAATCCCAGAGACTTGAGTTCTGATTTCTAGTCCTTTATTAGGCAAAAAGCCAACTGGATGACGTTGGACCAGTCAGTCATTCAGCTCCAGTAAGACGGCAAGGGCAAACTACTTTCAAAAACTTTGCCAGGAAAGTTGCACTTAGTAAGAGTCAATAATGACTTGAAGGCATTAAAAGAGTGGCAGAATTTAGTTTTATTCCACCCCCATTTTGGAATAAATCTCTGAACCAACTTGGAATTATTTCTATCCAAGACTACATCTTCATTCTTTCCAATGAAACAGGATGTTGAAAAGATATTACATAAGAGAAATCAGGACTACCTACCTCTGTAAACAGTGTAGGACAACATTTTTATGGTAGGAGACATCAAAGAAAGACTGAATTTAAAAAAGGTTCATGAGAGAAAAGAAATTAATAAAATAAAATCCCAATGTGGCCCCATGGCATGCAATATCTCAGCGCAGTGCCATCTCCTCCATTCAGAGGATGAATGAAGTAGGTAAGATGACCATCAGTCCTTTGATCACCACAGATGAAGCATAAATGGCTTGACATTCAGACAACCTTTCAAACTGAATTTGAATTAACAAACTAATTTATGCTTATTCTTAGCAACTCTTTAATTAAGCATCTTATGTACAACAGGAGAGGTTGGGAGAGGCATCTAACCAACTACAGAATGGAGAACAAACACAAATGAAGTCCCAGAAGACTACAAGCAAGTCAATATGGTTCATGAATGAACAGCTTCTCTTAATTACACAATGCCACATGCAAAGACAAGGATTGAAAGACCACAAAAGCTATTTCTTGGCCTGTGTTTAATTACTGCATTTCCATGCAACTTTTGAAACCAAGTACTCTTTTAAAAGTGGCTTATGATGTGTCATAGCAGGATTTTTTAAAAATAGATTTTTTAAATCTATTCTGAAAGAAATGTTGAGGATATTTATCAAATTTTTATGCCACCTATTTCATTCTGAGAAGCGACTCTGGACAGTTTTCCAGCACAAGATAAAAGAATAATCTTGTAACACCTTTATTACAGGACATGGAAGCATCTGTGCGCTCCTTGATGCTCTCTAAGCTTGGTTCCAGCTAAGGAACGATTAAGACCACTCCCACCAATACTAGCAGGACAAGCCACTAGTATATAAAAAAGAATAAACTCCACTCCCTACTAGCACTGATGGTATATGAATGTTGGTATGAAAGCAAATAGCCGAGCTCAGAGAGCACCAAGAGCCACAGTTCAATCCTGAGCTACAAATATTCTGTGCATCTGATGTGCACAAGCAATGGAAAAGGCAGAGAAAGCAAACAAGGAAATAGACTCCACAATTCTGCATTGTTATTTGTCAATTACTGTTAACTAATTATGTACAAACTATTTATAAACGACAGAGAAAACTGCTTTTCCTGGGTTCGCATTATGTGACCCATCTGTACACACTAGCATTACTGATAAACCAGAAGGTGAACATTTAAAAGCCTGACTGCCCTTCGATTCTTAAACCTCTCTGAAAAGAGAGAGGGAGAGGGAGAGGGAGAGAGAGGCGACCCTTGCCATTATAGCTTTTGAGGATAATTTAAATATTTAATATAAGAATGAATTTAAATAACGTGCCAGGGTCTCCCAGGATGCCGAAAAAGGGGATGGCGGTGTTATAGAGCATCTCAAGCAACCCGGATCGACCTCTCGGGTCCACCAAAGGCCACCCGGGAGGCTAGAGACCCTCTTAGGACTCCTCCTCACCGAAGCTCGGTTCCGACCCCGCAGGAATCCCAGAGAAAGTCGAACTGCGGCGTCTGCCTGGCCGCTCATTGGAAACTTTCCCCCTTCACACAATCAGGAGGAACGACACGAGGCGCTAGTGAGGACAAGGTCAGACCCGAGGAAAGGAAGGCGCTCTGTACATGGTCAGAGGCGTTCTTGTTAACCGACGAGCGCACCTTCCGTTGGGAAAGCAGATAACGGGGCCAGGAGCGTCGCCCGCGAGAGCTCCCTCTCCCCCTCCTCACCATATCCCTCCCCACTACCGAACCACCGCGCGCACATGTCAGTCACTCACCCCCTAACGGACTCTCTCGCTCGCGCTTCTCCTCCGTCGCGCGCACTCTCCCGCTCCCCCAACGATACCGGCTTCAGGCAAGATCCGGCTCACTAACCCCTCAACGCGCAGGCGCAACTCAACCGACGTGGCAACTCCGGGAAGGCGGCGCGAGGCTTCTCCTTTCACACACAAGGGTAGTGAAAGCGGCCAATCGGAAAACTCCATCGTTGCAGCGCCTCACTTCGTACCCTCGCGAGGTGGGAAAGTGCTATATGCCCGTCCACCCGGGGGCGCGCATGCGTGGCATTGGGTTTGGTGGTGTTTTTTTGCCTTGGCATGTTGTTTTCCCGGCGGTTTATTTTCTCCCGTTTATAGAGTTTTTTAAACACTCACACATCGTCCTGATCACTATTTGGAGCGGGGGGGGGGGTTCGCGTTTATTTTCCCTTCATATAAAGTGGTCTCTGGAAATACCGCTTCGCCACAGATGATGCGGACATATCCGGCTGGTGTAGCCCCCCCAATTCAGTCGTTTCCGAGTCTCGGAGTCTGCCTGCAGTTTCCTTAACAAGGTTTTTCTTAGCCGTTTTAAATTATACCATTGTTAAATGTTTTGAATGGGCTGATTTACGCCGAAATTAAGCCTGTAAGGTTATTGGACTTCAACTCCCATAATTCCTAATCCGCCTTGTCGTGGTTCACGCAGGCAAGGGATTCTGGGAGCTGTGGGCCTGGTCGGTGATGAAAAATCTCAATGACCACTAGATGGCAGCAAAGAGCCAGAGTTCGTTTTTATGCCTTTGCCTTCTATTTGTAGCGGTTACCCGGATATTTGCGCCTCAGATTTGGCAAGGTATGATAGTTGTGCATCCGCACAGCTCGTACTAGAGTCATAGGATGTGCGCAATTGAACAGAACTTTCCCCAACTTGGTGACATTCAGATGCATTGAAATATATAACACCCATTATTTTGGCAGTGGTTTGATCTCCAAGCTTGTTTCAGTTTAGTTTCTGAACGTTTCGTTACAAGACTAGATAACATCATCAACAGGATTTTCTTATCCTATTCTCCTTAGCTTATAAATGTTATTTTATTGGATTGTTAAGCAAAGGCATCATTGCTTAATATTTAGATGGGGACAATCTAGGAATCCCAGGTTGGAAATCCAGAGACTGGAAGGAAAGCAATAGCAAATCACTTCTGTAAGGTTGCCAAGACAATTGCAGAGTTGCACTCTCGTAGCATTTATGGGTTTTTTTTAATTCAGACCCCAAAACCATCATAATATATACTTCTGATCATTATTGTTATTTACCTTCATGATTGCTGATATGTTAACTTATTGCAGCCCAGAGTTATATGTGAGATGGGTGTCCATATAAAATGTTCAAATAAATAATATGAATAAATCAAGCTGAAGCTAAGTACCACAGTATCTTTACCTTTTTATTATTTTAATCTGAAACCTAGGACAAGCTTATAACCTACCTGTGAGCTACAGTTCCTTATCTCAGTTGGCATACAGAGGCATGAATAAATGTACATAACAGCTTAGAAGTTCCATGATGGATTTCTTCCTTACATCCTTTCTGCGTCTTTCATCTTGTACTATTTCTTCATTCTCATGAATCACCCATTACTATGGAAACATCCAAAATGATTCATCTTTTGATCTAGACAATCCATCAACGTAACCCAAATATTCATTTTTGAACTAGGCACACCCAAAAGATCCCTGCTCTTTGTCTCTCAAGAGTTCAAATATTATTTGTAAACTCTATGGCAACAGTAAACTAGTCTTCCTTTGCTTGATATTTTCCAGTTATAATGGACTACATTTCCTATCATTCCCAGTCTCCATAAACGTTTATTCCATGAATTATCAAACAGGACCCTGTAAAGGATGAAACTCATTAGTAGAATCCAAGGATTGAAGGATACAAGATATTCCAAAGGGAAACACACCAGAGGCCAGTGAAATAAGAGTGGCCTTAATTTCCTGACGAGAATGATTAATATATGGAGTAGCTTGCCTCCAGAAGTTCTGGAATTTCATCAGGTTCGGTTTTATTCCTATTCCTATTCTATTCTATTTCTATTCTATTTTCTATTCTTGATTAATTTGAACATGAGGGTGTAGTTGAGATTGTTTGAATAAGAATATAAGAAAGAAAGGGGGAAATATTGTGAGTAAGGGTAGGGTGAGGTTCAATGGTGGGTTCCTACCGGTTTGGATCCGTTCGGCCAAACCAGTAGTGGTTTGGCAGCTTGGGTTGCTGGAACCAGCAACGACCCAGGCCTGCTACATCCCTGAACTGGTTCTCCGGGCGGCACCATAGGTGCCGCCATCTTGTTTTTCAATTCTGTGCATGCACAGAATAATTTTTATTGTACTGCGCATATGCACGAAGTGCACCCATGAATGAACCAGCAGTAGTGGCTGCTGGAACCCACCCCTGGTGAGGTTGCTATAGATTTATCAAACTAGGCAGAAGGTCTCATGGACCATATTATAGAACATTTGTGTTCTATAGGCGAAACCTAGTGATAATAAGAGATTCAGATATTGTTAGGAAAAGTGAAAATGGCAGGGTTTCCAAAATATCTCACTGATCTTGCTGATTTTCTAGAAAGCTGAAGAACAAACAAGAGGATTTGCCGGATTCAAGTCTAACCAATAGAGAAGAGTTAGTTGAAGAAATAAAGACAGTTGCAACCTTGGGGGAATTGAATGCATTATTATAGAGTTCAGAATATTACTGAAAGAGAAATTAGAGCATAATTATATACGCAAACAAGATTTCAGGACATTCAATTCAAACTTAAAAGAAATCCTAGGAGGATCCCATGGGCTGAAATCTATTTTGTGACATCAGATTTTTATGAAACTCGCCCAATTTTGTAAGAGGAAAAAAGTAACACACATACAATATATTTATCTTTTGCTATGGATACTGATTTCTGGACTGCAGATTCTGTGTGACATTTTCCCTCAACTTAATGTCTCACAGATTTTTGGAGTTAAAATTTCCATCCGCCTCATGAAGTATGACCACCACATTGTGGGGATTAATAGAAATTGTGATTTCAAAAGTTAGGGTAAGAAAGCCTACATCTTTGTTTCGTGTTTTAATTCTCAAATACATTCCCTCCAGTGGGAAATATTTGTAAGTGTCTTTGAAAATTATCCACAGAAATCAAATGTGCTGGTTGGTTGGAAATTTTTGCCTATTTTCTGGAATAGCTGACATTTTAAAACATACCTCCTTTTTCAATGAATGTCTTAATAGGAAGATCTCCAGCCCTAACTCATCCCTGCTAAATTTTTCTTAAGGATAGAAATTTTTTAATAGGGGCTTTGTGAAAGGACCCATCCAAAGAAATGTAGGGTGGAGTTACAGAAACATACATTTCTAAAGTTCTTTAATGATATCTAGTACACTGTTTCCCAAACTTGGCAATTTCCAACTGTGTGGACTTTAAATCCCAGAATTCCATAGCCAACATGGCCCTCATTGAGAATTCTGGAAATCGATTGAAATACCTGGAAAGTTGTCATAGTTGGAAAACATAGATTTGGTCCAAGTTAGAAAAACCATCACTGAAACATCTTGGTTATTTCTATAGGAAGAATGATGAGCATTTGGTCCTTAATTTTTACATAGTTATATTGCAAATGTTAAATAAATTAATAAAAGTTCAAATATCATGCTAAACCTGGGATTGATTTTAGACAAATCATATGGTAAATCATATGGTTTCTTTGGTTATGATGTGAAATGCTGTGTGAAATCAGCCAACATGCTCTGTAAATACCGTAATTCAAAATGGAATTTGACTTCCTGAATTTTTCCAAGACAAGATTCCCTCAGGAACAAATAAACTTTCTGATCCTACTAGAGTGGGATTGGGGAAGCAAAGGGGTGCGGGGGAAACAGGAAATTCCATGAGATTCCATAAGGGAGGAATTTGAGATAAGCTTAATCTACACTGTCTTTATGGTCCAGGCATCTATTGCTACATTTATCATTCCTTGTATATTAAGTATAATTGAATAGCAAAAACTTTATATCTTGCATCACTTGAAGAAGCTAAAGGGAAACTGTCTCTTCCAATTCTACACAAATTGTTAAGGATTTAATGTCCAGACAAGAATTTTGGTAGAAGATGGGCAAATTTTTGTGGCAACTTCTCACTGTGGATGAGTCTTAATTCAACAGGAAAAGCAGTGGGGAGATTAAGGAAAAGGTAATCTAGAAAGAAAGCATATTTGATCGACAAGTTGTCTGCCTTTAATTCTGGGACAAGAAATATCATTAACTGACCACTGCAGTTTATGATCATGAATGCTGGGAGCCAGCTAATTACTGCATTCAGAGGATCATCCCTGGAAGACTGCACTGTTCCTCTGAGGTCAAAAAGCCTTAAGTACCCCTTCTCCCACCATCCAGGATATATCCAGGATATGAGGTGCCTATGATAGTGCGTGACCCATCAAAAGCGCGAACATCATAAGTGCGCCAACAACACCGTGGCGCTAAAACCGCGATTTCAAAAGCGCACCGACAGCGCGCCGACAACAGCGCGCCGACAGAAGCGCGATTTCATTTAAGGTAAGATTAGGTTGAGGGTTAAATTGAGGGTTAGGTTGAGGGTTACGTTACAGCGCGCTTCTGTTGGCGCGCTTTTGTCGGCACGCTTTAGGGCTAATTAGTCGGCGCGGTTTTGTCACCACGCTTTAGACACCGCGGTTTAGTCAGGCGCGCTTTTGTTGTGCGCGCATTTGTGGTGGAACCATGATAATGACCCAAGCAGAAACATTCCAAAGTACTGTTGGAAGAAATGTCCTTCTGGGTTCGGTTCCAAGTGGGGAAAAAGACACGGAACCATGGAGGCTGTTTGGAAAGATGGTTTAATGGTGGACAGGATCACATACTTTGGAGCTCCTGGGTGAAAAGGGGGATCACATGCTTCAAGATGTTGGGTGAAGAAGAAAAAGGGCCAAGATGCTGAGAGTCCCTGAGTTTTATACCCTCTTCTGGGCTCCACTTCCTCTTCCTGTCCCTGTGTAAGAAATGTATTCTGACTGGTTGTCAGACTTCCAGGGGCCAGGG